GCCAGCCTTAGTGTACTGTCTTCCCGGGGATTACATCACAACTCCACAGAGAAGAGAAGAGAGGAGGAGGAAGAGGAAGAGAGCTATTTCCTGCTTCTCCTTGCTTATATTCTGAGTCAGCCTGCTAAGTCACTTCCTGCCTGGATCACAAGGCTTCTTTTTATTACACTTCCTAGAATCCTCCTTGACTCCTAGTCCCGCCCAACTTGCTTCCCTATTGGCCAACAGTACTTTATTTATCAACCAATAAGACAAACATACATACAAGTACCTACCCCATCACAGATCTTGGGGGATGGGTTGGGGGGGGGCGTTGGTAGGGGACATGGGAGGATGGGAGGGAGAGGGAATGGGGGTTGATATGTAAAATGATTGTTTCTAAATAAAAAAAAGCAGGTCTCAAATAAAAAACTTATTGTGGCATCTCAAAAATCTTTAAAAACTTGAACAATCCAATCCAAAAGCAGAAGATGGCAAAAAGTAATAAGGCAGAAATAATAGAATAATAAACTAAAATAATGGAGTTGTAAACTAAAAGAACAATGAGCAGGATAAAGACTTGATTCTTTGAAAATTAAGATTGACAAAAGAGAGAGAAGACCCATGATGGGGGATGTCCTTCTGTTTATATGTTTCTCTTATTGGTTGATGAATAAAATACTGATTGGCCAGTAGCCAGGCAGGAAGCATAGGTGGGGTGGGGAAACATGATTGATAACTGATGCCAGGACAGAAATAACATCTATAACATATAAAGATCTGTGAAACTTAAATGCTGAAAAAGAAACCAGCCAGATAGTGCCTTGTGCTACCACCACCCCACACAAGGGTCTTTACCACTGAGCATCTCACCAGTTCCTGTCTTAGGAATTTGAAGAGACTTTATTTCTTTTTAAAAAATTAATTTATTTTCTGTGTCCATGTTTGTAGTTGGAAGTTTTTCTCTGTCTCACTCAGTCCCACTGGACTGGTTTCTCTCCCACCTACCAGGTCCATCCCTTATAAAATAACACTCTGAGGCTTAATATCAATTACAATTGTTTGGTCAGTGGCTCAGGCTTATTACTGGCTAGCTCTCTCTTATAAATTAAACCATTTCTATTAATCTATGTATTGCCAGGAGGCTGAGGCTTACTGGTAATGCTCCAGCATGTTACTCTTTTGGCAGCTACATGGTGTCCCCTGACTTCCTGCCTTCTTTCTCTCTGTAACTGTTTGGATTTCCTGCCTAGCTATATTTTGCCTAGCCAATTTTCTTTTTTTCTTTTTTTAAAATTTAATTTAATTTTATTATTTGTTTGTTTTTTTTGTTTTTTGTTTTTTTGAGACAGGGTTTCTCTGTGGCTTTGGAGGCTGTTTTATTTTATTTGAGATTTTGCCTATATAAGGATGTTGGATCCTGGAGTTATAGACAGTTGACAGCTGCCATGTGGGTGCTGGGAATTGAACCCGGGTCCTCTGGAAGAGCAGTCAGTGCTCTTAACCACTGAGCCATCTCTCCAGCCCCCTCTTTTCTTTTTCTTTCTTTTTTTTTTTTCTTTTTTTTTTCTTTTTCAAGACAGGGTTTTTCTGTGTGGCTTTGTAGAATAGGCTGGCCTTGAACTCACAGAGATCTGCCTGCCTCTACCTGGCCAGTTTTCAAAACAGCTTTATTCATCAACCAATAAAAACAACACATATTTGAAGCATACAGAAGGACATCCCATATCACATGTGTTTTGATTGCATGTATGTATGTGCATCGTGTGTGTGCCTGGTTCCTGTCAGAAATTGGAAGAAGGTATCAGGTCCCTGCAGTTATAGATGAATGTGAGCCACCATGTGGGTGCTAGGACTCAACCTGGATTCTCAGCAAGAGCAACAAGTGCTCTAAACTGCTGAACCATCTCTCCAGCCATTTTTTTCTTCCTCCTCCTCCTCCTGCTTTTGTGGTGGGCTGTTATTTTGAGCCAGGGTCTCATGGATCCCAGGTGGCCTCAAATCAACTGTGTAGCAGAGGAGGCTAGAAGCTGGTCTTGAACTTCTGATCTTTCTGCCTCCACTTCCAACGTTCTGGTATCATAAGCATGTGCTCCCCCACACCCAACAACGTTCATTTGTTTGTGTCAAGGTCTCATTCTGTAGCCTAGGCAGTCCTGGAACTTGCTATTTGTCCCAAATCTCAGTGCATGTGTGCGTGCGTGCATGCGTGCGTGCGTGCGTGTGTGTGTGTGAGAGAGAGAGACAGAGACAGAGAGAGAGAGAGAGAGAGAGAGAGAGAGAGAGATTGAGAGAGAGAGAGAGAGATCTTTCTGAATGCAAATACTTATCAGTTTCTAGAAGAGCATGGTGAAATAGGGAATTGACCCTGATACTCAGGGTTGCTCTCACCCTAGACATGCTGTTCATGTCTCAGAGGCCACTGAGACCCCTGAATATTGACCTGGAGGAGGGGGAAATTCAGACAGCCTCACCAAATGGGGCAAGCCTTGTAAACTACCCTATGCTTTGAGTTAGGGACCTCCATGAACAGTCCATGCCAGTCATTTAAATTGACATTCACAAAGTGTCATTCAAGGGCCTGAGGGTCTAAAGAGCTGATCTTGAAATAAAGTTGTTCCTGGGTTGCTGGTGCCTTCTGGCATCTATCTAAAGCAAGTTACTGAAGGAGAACACCATTGTGCTAGGTTTACATTGTCACTATGAATGTGTTTTCAAATGCCAAATACAGCACCAGTTTAAGATACATACAAAGGTCACCATATAACCTAAGAGATAGGCCCAGTAGGAAAAGCATTAGAAAAGGAGCCATGGAATCCAGATACCAAATGTCAGAAGATAAAGCCACTGTGCAACACATTCCTAGTAGGAAGAGAGAGCTAGAAAGTTGGCAGGTATATGAGCTGCACTGCACTGTGTGGCCATCCTGAGGCACACATTGAGTCTTAACCCTCAGTAACTCAGCGTGTGACAAGGACCTGCAGAGAAATGAACCAGCTGGCTATCTGTGATCAGAAAAATACAATGTCCAAGGAAAAATCAATAGGTAGGTTTAAAGGCTGACTAAACACAGTTGAAGATAAAGTTAACTCCCTGAAAGACTGCAGAAGGCCACAGTCTGAGCTACCATTTCACCTGAGGTAGGAAGGTTGCTTCACAGAAGTATCATCTGGGCTGAAACAAAGAGACCCTAATGACCAGAAAACTCTTAGAACTGATAAACAGTTCATCAAAGTAGCAGGATACAAAATCAACCTACAATAAGCAGTAGCTTTCCTGTATACAAATAAACATAAGCATTCGGAAAAAGAAGCCAGGAAAACAGTTCCGCTCACCATAGCTTAAAGAAAACAACTGAAGAGGAAACCTCACCAAAGAACTGGAAGACTTGTCCAATAAAAACTTTAAAACACAAGAGACAAAATGAAGACACTAGATTTCCCTGTGTTCATGGACTGGAAACATTAAAAGTAAGAAAATGGCTATCCTATCAAGAACAATCAGCATATTCATTACAATCCCCATCAAAATCCCAAAGCCATTCTTCATAGAAATAGAAAAAAAAAATACTAAGAATTCTTGTGGAGAAGGGGGGATGCAGCTCACTTGACAGAGTGCTTATCTAGCATGCACAGAGCCTGGGTCCCTAGTCCCTAGCACTGCATGAAACAGGCACAGTAGCAATGCCTGAAATCACAGCACTCAGGAGGTGCAGCCAGAATAATCACAAGTTTTTGGACCCTGTCTCAAAATTTTGTTGAGCTAAAGGAATGACTCAGTGGTTAAGTGTACTGGTTGCTTCTTCCAGAGGACCCAAGTTCCTAGCATCCACTTCACCTGGTTCACAACCATCTGTAACTCCAGTTCCAGGGGTTCTAGCACCCCACCCTCTTCCAGACTGTGTGGATACCTGCACTCACATGGCATGCATCCATACAAACACATACACATAAATAAAAATAAAAACCTTTTTTAAAAATTTGCTGGGCACTGGGGCAAAGGAGGTGAATCTGTGAGTTTGAGGCCAACCTGGTTTACCATGTAGGTTCCAGGCTAGGCAGGGCCACATAGTGGGACCCTATCTCAGAATGACAAATTTTCCCAACAAAATCAAACAGGATTCACTATCATAACAAGCAAAGGATGCAGGGAATTCCCATCTTAAGAAGGAAGAACCTTGGGGCTGGAGAGATGGCTCAGAGGTTAAGAGCACTGACTGTTCTTCCAGAGGTCCTGAGTTCAATTCCCAGCAACCACATGGTGGCTCACAACCATCCAAAAATGAGATCTGGTGCCCTCTTCTGGTCTGCAGGGACACAGGCAGACAGAACACTGTATACACAATAAATAAATAATTAGAAAAAGAGACCTGGTGTGCAGATACACATGGAAACAGAATGTTGTATACATAAATAAATAAATACATCTTAAAAAAATAAAAGAAGGAAGAACCCTGCTAGGCAGTGGTGGTGCACTCAGGAGGCAGAGGCAGGTGGATCTCTGTGAGTTCAAGGTCAGCCTGGTCTACAGAGCAAGCTCCAGGACAGCCAGGACTACCCAGAGAAACCCTGTCTCAAAAAGCAAAGCAAAACAAAACAAAAAAACCCCACACCTTTCGTGAGCATGCTTCAGAATTTTTTTTCTTTTATTTTTTTTAATTGTTTTTTCAAGACAGGGTTTCTCTGAATTGCTTTGGAGGTTGTCCTAGAACTCAATCTATAGACTAGAGTGGCCTCGAACTCACAGAGATCCGTCTGCCTCTGCCTCTGGATTGCTGGGATTAAAGGTGTGTGCCACCAACACCTGTTTGAATTTCTTAACTTCAACATGCTATCACCAACATGGAGGTCTTGTGAAAATGCCATGGGGAGGCCTGGGTGGGGCCTGAGATGGTGAGTGGCCAACAGTCCAGGTGACACAATGGAGTCTGAGGAGCTGTGAGACTCTGGTATCAAGTGGCTTTATTCCTTGTTCAGGGTGAGGATGATGACCGATGCAACCAGCAAACACTGGAGGTCTTTTCAAACTTTTTATTTCTTATTTGGTTTCATTAGCAAACGTACAAAGAGAGGGGTAGAGTGGACCCCGTCAGGGATGGCACTTCTCAATGCCACAGCTTTCCTTACCCATGAACTTGTTCTAAGAGACATTAAAGCAAATCCAGCCATTGTTTCACCTCTATCAGATAAGAATCAAAAAAAAAAAAAAAAGCCTACACTCAGTGTTGTTGTCACACAAAGGGACAGTATTGTGTAGCACAAAAGTAATGTCTTGAAATTGTCTCGTAGCCATCTGTCATATTCTTGTTTTTCAAGCTTCTCAGCCTATAACTTCCTGATCTGTTCTCCCAGGATCTGGGACTTCAGGAACTGAACGCATAGGTATGGTCCTTAAATGTATAACTTCTGGGACTCTGTTTACTAACACACAATAGCAACAGCTTTAGAACCACCCCTTTTGTATCTGAGCTCATCCTCCCCAGTCTCTGCCGGATCCCTCAGCCTTGAGATCAGAACAGTAAACAGCAGACTGGACACAAAGCCTCTGGCCTTAGTGTAGACATTTGAATGGGGTCGCTTCAGGAGATGCCTGAGAGATCTCATTCCCTAAACTTTTAGCTTTACACTCCTTCAGTTTCTCCTACACACTGCCTACCCACCCCCAGTACCTCATGGTTTTAATCGGTGTATAAATTGGTTGCATAGTTCATTAAGTTGTGTGACCCTCTGCCCTTCCAGTCCCCAGTCTGGTAGAACGGGCTTCCTTTAATGCAGGAACAGATAATGCCACTCCACTGCCAGGGCCTGCATGGAGCTCTCTTCTCTCACAGCCTGCCCCTGACAAACCCCCCATGTAGCCGGTACAGTCTGCCTCCACATTCCCCCACCAAGATTGGAGCCTCTTAGCCCTTAGACTCTTAAGAGGGGACACAAAGCTCCCTGACAATGTCACAACCAAATGCCAAGGCCTGCTGAATACCAGACCTGGGGAGGGGACATCTGTGTCTCACTCGGTTCTTAGGTTTCAAACTCTGTTAGTCGGGATGCATGTGACAGGATTCAAAGTCAAAATCATTAAGCACAAAGGAACAGTGATGGGAAGGATGTGGGCGTCTCCTCCAGGGGTCTGGACTCCGGAAAGGCAGGAGGTGGATGAGATTTCCTTTCTAGTCTTGCCTCTCCCCCACCATCTTCTGGTAGGTTCCTTCCGCCCTCTACAGATCACTCAGATGGTCTGAGTGTAGATCTCAAGGAGGTACCCTTACTATGAACTACACACTGCAAAGGAACTGCATGGATTCTGATGCCGGGGTCCACCACATCAAGTCTTTGTGTCTGGGTGGAGGCTGGGCATCCACTTCTAAGTGACTCCAATGTGGCTTCAGGCACCCAGAGAGGACTCTCCTGAGGACCTCACAGCTCAAGGGGCCTCACTCCGGAAACCTGTTTAGGATAAGAGGCATCCATGGGGGCTGACAGTTGCCGTCAATCAGAAGATTAATTGATCGGCAATTTAGCAGGTTTGTCATTATCTGACCATAGCAGCTCTCTGGCACCTGCTTCCCTCCCCCGACTCCACCGTCGGCTACAGTGTTTTGGTCTTTGCCTCTCAAGATTGCACAGTCAGTCTTGAACTAGAATCTGAGCAAGGCTCTGGGGAGACGTGGTCACAGACTAGAAGTGGAAAAAGCCGGTGCTAGCTGACTAGCTGGGAAGGCATGTGGGAAGCAAGAGAAAGACGCCTCTTCCCAGGAAGGGACAGACCTGGAGTTCAGGGAGAGGCTTGAGTGACAGAAGCCTGAGAGTGAAGGCAGGGTCCAGCACACTCTGAATGGGGCACTGAGGGTGAAGGAGAATGCTAGCCCTTTGCTGATCTTTTGTTTCCCTCAGTTCCTCCGAGGACTTTACTTCTTCTAGAAGGTCATACCTGGACTTCAGGACCCAAAGCCCTGTCCCCTGGCTGCACTTCAGGGCAAAAAAGCTCTGTAGGATTAGGGTGAGAGCTAGGCTGAGGGCTCTGGAGTTGGCACAGGACAGTCCTGATGTGATGTCCCTCTCCATGCCCTTCTTCACTGAGGGAACTCCTACAGTGTTCTCTCACTTGGCTGTGACCTAGTCCCTAGTTGGGTCTTACAGAGACTGTCCTTTTCCTCAAGAGGGCTCTCAAGGAGGACCTGGAACATTCTACTAATGGGATGGTCTCCATGCCAGGGGTACCCTCACACTGAGATCCTGCACTCTTACTAGGCCAGGCTTTAGGTGGCCGCTAGGAGTGGCTGTGTTTTCCCCTCATGCAAGTCTTGGTACCAAACTCCAAGGCAGGGCAGGCAGAGATACAGAGTAGGACCCCTAAGTGCTTCCTGCTTGCTCTGCCTGTGTCCTGGAACACACCTCAATAGTCCTGGGAGTTGGCTCTGACCTCTCTAGTCCAGGCCCCACCCTAGGCGCGTGGCAACAGATATAATAACGTCACACTTGGGGCTGAATGTTCACTTTTCTTTCCAAAAAATACCAAAAACAGTCTAGATGTGGTAGTGGGGAGGGCCTGGCTGGGAACCCGGACTTTACACACCCAGGGGGCCCTTGATGGAGGCGGGCATTTTAACAACAGGTCTGCAAGTCAAAAGAGAAAAGGCTGGTTAGTGGGGTGAGCAGAGGTGAAGGAGACAGGGCCTGTGGAGTCAGCCCTGCCTGGGGCACAGTACTGGAGATGACAGTGAGACAGTCTGATCTCATGACCTATATGGGCACCCAAACAATGTTGGGCAATTAACTGCTAGAGCCTGAGGCCTGCCCTCATTGACAGGAGAATCACACTTGCAGGTCTCTCTGAAGCTCCGTGTCCTTGTGTGTGATGTAGGGGACAGTCCTTAGCCTTGAGATTTCCTCTATATGGCTGCTGTGAGTAGCTGCTGGATGGAGTATGAAGGGCTCTCTGACCCAAAGTGCTATGCGCTGAGATCCTTCTGTTGCTGTGAGATCCTCAGGGCCCAGCATACAGTAGGCAGGTGGCCCCTTCACTGAGTAAGTGGGCTGGTGAAGGAGCTGGTGGCTAAGCTAGTGTCTAAGGCCCTGTGTACTCATTCTGGTGTAGCCAGAACAGACCTGGGTCGTACTGGGTGACACGCGTCGTCTGGGTCTTGTTCCTGATCTCTGAGTGTCTTGAGTCTGGGACTCAGAGTCTGTGTTGAGGACCAGATGCTTGGAGCTCCAGACTGAGTTCAAGGGATCTTTACCCTACCTACCCTTGCCCAGGGTATCATGTCAGCTGGCTGGAGTTCTGGGCAAGAGAGTTGCTGGACAGATGGGCTGGGCAGGACAGGGCAGGGCAGGGCAGGGCAGGGCAGGGCAGGGCAGGTAGACTCAGACTCAGACGTACTCTCGGGCAGCAGTTGAGGGTCCAGAGCGGTAGGGTTGTGGAATGCTGTTGGCTCTCTCAGGCTCTGGGCATGTGCAGCAAAGAAGGGAGCCCCCCAGCATGGCCAGGCCAGCAGAGGCCCAGCCGACGAACAGAGCTGGGCCAAATTCATACCTGTAAGAGGTAGGGAGAACTACATCAGGCTGCAAACCCCAGCCCTGCCTGGCCCCAGTCCACTTGGGGGACCTACCAGCACCTGGTAGAAGGAAGATAACACACAAGGAATTTACAGGCTTCCTCCTTCTTTCCAAATGACCTAGGGTGAATGCTCACCCTGCCTCCCTTCCGCTAGCACATCCACACCACACAGCTCAAGTCTGGGTGGGCAGCTTGGGCTCATTTCCTCATCTGGCTGGTGGAGGCATGAATACAGAGATCTGACTGGATGCAATGGAACAGTCTGCTGTCTTCTTTCCCAGTCATGGTCTGGTCTACAGACCAGTGTCCAGCCAGGGCGGAGGCTCTTCACTGCCCTCTGGAGATTGTTCCTCTTCTGCCTGGCCCTCTGGGTTCTCCTCATCCAGCTCTGCCATCCAGCCTGGCTCTTCCAGGGCTTCCCCACCTAGAACACCTTCCCAGCTCCTTCTCTAAACTTCAGGACCCTGTTCATATGGAACCTCCTGACTGGGGGACTTGCCTTGTTGTTCCCCTTCACCTCTCATCACCCCCACCCCCCACCAGAAGGGTCCTTTGATCTGCCCCTGTAGGGCAGACAGAGGCATAACTGTTCTCAGGACCCGAACCAGGCAGCCCAGGAATCCTGAAGTCCTAGTCCCAGCTTGGCACCTTGGGTTAGACCTTGCATAGCAGGTCTTTGTGCTGTAGCTGCTCACCCAGAGCATAACTCTCTGAATTCTCCTTCTCTGTCTTCTCCATGGAGCCTTCCCACAGAGAGAACCCAAGCATCCCTTCATCCCCCTCCACCCCAGAGTCCAAAGGATAACTGGACCGGGAACTATTCGTTCTTTGCTCCTGGCTGGGCTGAGAGGAAGGGAAGAACCAGGTACAGTCAGGCCCTTCCTAACCTGTCCCCCCCCCTCCCAAGCCTTTAACTCTACAAATCTGACCAAATTAGTTCCCAAGTATATGGCCTGCTTCTTGATAGCACCAAAGCCCTCTGCTGGAGGCAAAGGCAACAGCTGCTCCACTGTGCTGGCCTCCTCACTGCTCATTCTCACACAGCAGAGGGCAGCTGCAGCCTCACCCAGGGTGAGGAGCAAATTCTCTTCTTAGCTGCTGGGTTTTACCTTAGCTACCCATTTTCTCCAGTCTCATATTTCCAGGAACCCCCAACCCCCATTCTACTGCCTCCTCCAGGAAGCCATCTTGACTTCAGCCACCAGCAGAAGTAAAACAGCCCAGCTGTACTGAGCCCTGGACAAAATCTCTTTCCTTATCACCTCTTGGATTTTCAGAACCACAGAAGAGCTGGTTTTGGTTTGAAAAGGCTAAGTCACAAGTGACCTATGTCACCTGGCAAGAACATAGAGCTAGACTTCAGACCCAGAGCTAGGGCACTGGGCTCCTCAGGGGCCCGGCTGCACCAGGATGTCCCTCCCAAGGGCCTAGTCACACCCTATGTGGCTCTCCTTTCTCAGAAACTAGCTGAGGCCCACTCCCTATTTCCTCTTCCAAGTGACAACTGTGGCCAGGGGAGGACAGATAAGAAGGAGGCCCAGCTCTGGCACTCACCTGGCATTGACAGGTGTGCTGGGGTTGAAGAATTCCTGGGTCACCAGAGTAGCATACCATGAGACAGCAGTCAAAGTACAGAGACCTAAGGACCAAGTAGGGGTGCTCAGCTCTGCCCAGCCCACGGGTGGGCTAGCTGCATGGGCAGGAGGGGAGAGGAGGGAGGGCACTCACCCGCCAAGAGGAAGAGGGCACCCCCGGAGATGGCCACACGGCCCTTGGCAATGGGGTTACTGTCTCCAACCCGAGTACACTTCATGCCCACGACACTGAGCACCATAGCCACAAAGCCCAGGAGCACTGCCACCACCATCAGGGCTCTGGCTGACTGGATATGACCTGGAACAGTGAGAAAGTGCTGAGCAGGAGTGGGGAACTCGGAGGGGGTGGCAAAATGGAGGAGTTGGACCTGGGTGGGGGAGGAATCCAGTGTGGAGGGGCTTGAGTAGAAGCCCAAAGAGGTCTGACTGCTTGCCTGATTACTTTTGAGAAGGGACAGTGAGTGTATGAGAACAGGGTGTGGGGGTGATTTCCCACTGGCTCCTCTGAATGGTGCCGAGTGATGGGATAGTTTGAATTTGCTCTTCTGCTGCTTTGTTTCAGACCTGGTGTGCCAGCAAGCAGCAGGAGAAAGGGCTGGGTGCCACTCAGGATTGCCAGAGAAAGAGCAGAGAGTGTGTCAGGCCTGCCTAAGCCCAGCTTAGTACCCTGCAGCAGCCCTGTCAGTCATCCATGGAGCCGTATGCCTGCTGCTCTCTGAGTGTGCTGGTCAGTTCTAGGCTGCAGACAGCTCAGGAGACTTAAGTCCCTGAAGGAGGCCAATGATCTGCCTGGATCAGTGTGCAGTGGGGCTGACTGGTGGCGGTTCTGCTCAGGTGCCTGCAGAGCCCTGTTGGAGTGCAGGTGGGAGGGTCCCGCCAAGGTCAGAGCTGTAATGGTGTCTGTGAACCAGTTTGATGGTGAGTATATGAACGTGTGAATGGGTGTGTTCTAGTGCTTGTGTGTGTATGTGTGTGTTCTAGTGTTTGTGTCTGTGCGAGGTGTATACACCTTTGTGTGTGTTCATGGGTCTGTCAGTATAGAATATGGAGAGAAGAGAACAGATGGTGTTAACAGGCTTAAGGAGCCAGACCCTCATCTCGGTCCACCCTCCCGTGTCCTATGTATAAGTGTCTTGGTTACACAGAACATCAGAGTGCAAAGGGTTGGGTGAGCAGTAAGGTTATGGTGTCAGGACAGGGAGCCCAGGCTGCCAGCCTCTTGTGCTCATGCCTCCCCCAGAGCCCAGAGACCTAGCTGGCCTGGACTCTCCAGTATACACAGGATGGCAGTTAGGGAATCACACAGGGGCTGGAGGGTGCCGCCTGGCCAGTGCTGAGGGCAGGCTGTGAGAAAGCTTGTGCTAGACCTCCCCAGCTCCCTCCCAGGCTCCCGCCTGAAGCCTACCGTCCAAGGCCAGAAGCGAATCATAGAGCTTGCATTGGACCTGCCCGGTGCTCTGAGAGGCGCAAGACATCCACAGCCCTTCGTAGAGGCCCACGGCAGTGATGATGGCATCGCCGGCATAGGAGGACTGCTTCCACTGCGGCAGGGCAGTGCTGGCGATGATGCCTATCCAGCCACCCAGGGCTAGGAAGTAACCCAGGAGCTGGAGGCCTGAGTTGGCCATGGCCTAGGGAAGAGTCTGAGGGTTCCAGGGCTCAGAGATGGGCCAGGATCTTGCGGAGCGCTGTGATCATGGTGAGAGGAACAGCTGGACCGGGGAGCTAAGTGGCACAGGAGGAGGGTAGGAGAGAGGATGCCTGGCTGGCCAGCCACAGAGTCAGACCAGCAAAGGCAGAGGCTGCTGGATTCCAGAATGCAGGGGGCGGCCCAGGGGCTGGAAAGGGCCAAAACCCGCCCACAGCCGGTCCCCAGCAGAGCGCTTGCCGGGCTTCTTGGGGATGGAGGGCGGGGACCTAGTGCCCAAGGTAGGGTACCCTAGCCCTCCCCGCCTCAAGAGCAAGGAAGGGAGGGGCTCAGAGGAGCGACTCTTTCCTCTCAAGGCCTTTCCAACCAGGGAAACCCCTTCAGGAGTGTGATTTCAGAGAGACTTCTTCTAATCCCTACTGCAAGCTCCAGCTCAGTGGATAGCTGCCGTGCTTTCACTCCTGATATGAACCTGGAGTTTGTTGCCCACTTGCTTGAGGATAGAAAAGGAGAAAATGAGAGAGATTCTAGTTACAGCAGGAAAAACTAGAGTTAGGTGTGTGTGTGTGTGTGTGTGTGTGTGTGTGTGTGTGTGTGTGTGTGTGCTAGGTATGGAAACCAGGCCTTGCACATGTAAGGCAGGCACTCTACTACTGAGCTATACCCCTTAGAGTTAGTTTTTGGTAGGGGCTCTAAGGCAGAGACTAGGCGAGAGCTGAGCTGTTGGGGAGAAGAGTCCTGGGTACCTGGAAGCCATGTGTTTGGTCTCAAATCAGTGGACATGTGCTGTAGGGTCTGTTTGGGATCTGAGGAGTCAAAAGAGGGACCCCCACAGTTACTGGGCCAGCAGTGGCTACAGTCCAGCCTCAAATGTGGTGGAGAGCTGGGGAGACCTGCCCCAGCATCTGGGCCTGGAGGAAGAACTGCTCAGTCAGTTAATCCCTTTGCTGGCTGGCTCAGCAGCTCCTGCTGGGACCTGAGACAGCAGGCAGGGCCCTAGCTCCAGAACAGCCTGGCAGGGGCAGTGGCCTCTGCACATTCCTGGGGTTCAGGCTGCCCCGTCCTGGACCCTGTCTGCTCCTTCTCAGTCAGCCCTCAGGAACAGGGAATGTTTAACTCCCCTGGGTCTCATTAGCAATCCTCTCACGTTCATTTCAGCCCCACAGGCTTGGCATGGGTGCAGGAGAAATGTCACACCCCTGCTCCCACTCCAGCCAGCCTCCCAGCCGCCTCCCTGCATCCCCTGCATCCCACTGCCTTTCCAGAGCTTCAACATGGCTAGCTTCCTCCCCCACAGCCTCAGCCCCCACCGCAGGGACAAACCCGCAGCCTGCTGCCTTGCATTCTTCACGTGGGTGCCTGGCACTGTCAGACAATGGCAAGCCTGTGTGCCCGATCAGGGCGTGGGCCCTGGTATGGCCTGCAGCTCTAAGCTAGGAGGACCTGGGGGAAGCTGGGCAAGGGATGAGTGCTGTTTGGTAGACAGTGTCATACACTGGGTCCCTCTGACTTCCTGTGTACACAGGACCTGCTTCTTGGGGTAGCCTGCCAATCCCCAAATACCAATGAGATCCAGAATGGTAACAGAGAAGATGGTTCCGACTTCTAATTTTTCTGCCATGCATAACAAAACAATAGAATCAAAAGAAGGAGGTTGGGGGGTGGTTACCAGAGCACGGGAGCCCCTGTCCTTTGCCCATCCCCCCAAGAAAGCCCCCCGCCCCCCCCCCCCCCCCCCCCCCGGAGTGGGGCAGGAGATAACAAGTAAAAGATCCTGGAGAGCAGTGAGACCCTGGGAACTGGAATGTGTGTGATGCTGGGTTCTGTGGCCTCTCCCCATGTCTTTACCTTTCTGAGTTTTGGAGGGAGGCATCCAGTGTAGATAGGGAGGGGGCATAAGATGCTCTCTACAAATGAAGACAACTGTGTAGCCTCAGTGTCTTTGTCCCTAAAGGAACACTGTTTTGCCAAGCTGGGATGATGCTTAGGGGAGGCAGAGGGTCTGCACTGGTAGCTACTATACATAGGCTATGGAAAAGACCAGACAAGACCCTGCCTCCCAAAGCTGGGCCTTGGCCTCTTGCAAAGACTTCTCATGAGGAAGAACCAGGGCTCATTCTGACCTTGGGAGCATTGGTCAGATACCTGAGTTTTGGAGCCTCAGGGGTACACATAGCACTAGCTGTGACCTCGTCTTCAGACATGTAAGAGCTGTGGTAGACGGGAGATTGTCACTGTCCCCAGAGCTAAGGTGTCCCAGATGTGAAGCCTGAGGGGTAGCAGGATGCCTGTCTGTCTGTCTCTATTCTGGGAATCCCCTAAACCCTGCCTTAAGGACCCAGAACCCCCATGATTCTTTTTTGTTGTTGTTTTGTTCTGGCTGTTTTGGAACTTGCTCTGTAAACCAGGCTGGCTTTGAACTTAGAGATCTACCCACCTCTACCTCCTAAGTGCTGGGGTTAAAGGTACGCGCTACCATGCCCAGCATAAGCCTCTAGAATTCTTGAATCTTCCCCTGAAGCTCTTCCAGAAGTTTATCCCCTTGTCATTGGAGGGTTTGGGTCTGTTCTACCTAAATATCCCCTGCTTCCCCAACAGCCTTCCTGTGCCAGTGTTCCAAAGCCATCTGGAATTCAAGTACTGCTCCTGAAGAGAAGTTCCCTAGCCATGTATAGCTTCTCCACCCCAGGGAACCCACCATTCTTGGTGGCCCTGCAGCTCAGTGACTCTCAGGCATGCAGAAAGGACTGGAAGGCTCAGGGTTCCCAGCCCAGCCTCTCATCAGAGCTGACAGGAACTGCCAGGATGGACATAAGTCACAGTTAAAATAAAGTGCTTTTACTTCTGGAGGGTACTAGCTTTTCCTTGGCTTCTGAAAAGTCTTGACATAGGCAAGTCCTCAGCTTGTCTTTTTCCTTAATTGAAAAATAGGGGTAGCTGGGCGGTGGTGGAGCATGCCTTTGATCCCAGCACTTGGGAGGCAGAGCCAGGCAGGATCTCTGTGAGTTCAAGGCCAGCCTGGTCTACAAAGCTACACAGAGAAACCCTGTCTCAAAAACTCAAAAAGAAAAAGAAAAAAAAAAAAGTAGGGGTAATACCATTTGCCTGTCTAGTTCATGAGGTTTTTAGGGTCATAATTTTGCCATAACAGTGGCTGACCAAAGCTGTCCCTAAGATGTTGGTCCTAGGATAGGTTTTCCCTGGTGCTGCCTCATCCTGGCATGGCAGACTGCTTAAGGCTGGGAACCGGCTGCCACCTCTTTCACTGCTGTGCCCAGCTGAGGGCGGCCTTGGTAGGTATGTGTTGATCATTGATGGGTTGCTTTTTCCTCTCTTGTAATGAAACACCAGGGGTTGGTCCACTGTCCTCTCCCATGGCTGGTTAGGAGGGTCTGATGCAGTTGGTTGTAATCTATTATTTTCCTTGTAGCTGCCATGGGAAATTGGAGGCTCAGAAGTGGTATCAGCCTTACCACCCCCAACTGGGTTAAGTTCCCTAACAGCCACAGGCTCTGGACAAAAATGACTCACCTTGGGCCACACAGCAAGAAAGGAGGACGGCCAACCATGTGCCACCCTTGGCTGCTCTGTCTGCTCAGGCATAGTTGAATCCCACAGTCCTCTGCATGTTCCCACCCTCTGCAGTTGGTAGACTGTTTCCTCCTTCCCAAGGTCCATAATGCAGCTTGAGACTGCTCTAGGAGTCTCAGGTAGTTCCCTGTCTAACTAGGGCAAGGATACCTTGCAGTGCATGGGTAGCCTAATGGTGTCTTCACTCCTCAGGAACAGCACTGGGTACAGATCTCTGGTAACCCCTACCCCAGCTCTGTAGCTTCCCTAGGCACCATAGACTGATGAGTGTCACACTTGTATCTTCCCTGGGTTTGCTGAGTTGTTCCCTATGCCTGCGACACTCCCACAGGCTGTTTCCATTCTTTTTTGTTTGTTTTTGTTTTTTCTGTGTAGCTTTAGAGCCTATCCTGGCACTCACTCTGGAGACCAGGCTAGCCTCGAACTCACAGAGACTCTCCTGCCTCTTCCCCCTGAGTGCTGGGAATTAAAGGCGTGTGCCACCACCGCCCAGCGTGTTTTTTGTTTTTTTGAGACAGGGTTTCTCTGTGGCTTTGGAGGCTGTCCTGGAACTGTAGACCAGGCTGGTCTTGGAACTCACAGAGATCAGCCTGCCTTTGCCTCCCAAGTGCTGGGACTAAAGGCGTGTGCCATCACCGCCCGGCTTGCTGACTTGCTCTTCTACATGCTTCCCTGAGCATGCATCTCAGCTCATTGCTTCTGGATGAGCCTCCCTAGCCTAGTTCTATACATTTACCTTCGTTCTGTTGCCACTGGAAACATCTAAGCTTTTGTGAGTTCAAAAAAGGCAGTCTGCTCTCGGTATATAGGTAGCATGCGTTGATACTGTAAAAGCCAGGCAGGCAGTGGTAGCACACACCTTTAATCCTAGCACTTGGGAAGCAGAGGCCTTAAACTCACGATGTAGTCAAGTCTGGCCCTGAACTCTGATCTTTCTGTCTCTATCTCTGTGGTTCCGGGCAAGCACCATCACACCAGCATTTCAGTTCTCATCTTGCTCAGCTTTTGGACACCATTTGTCACCACTACCTTGATCTGCACATCTGTACTCAGAACAGGGGAAGGCCTTGCCAGTCCCATGGGTTTGAGGCATTGGGGTCTTTGACACAGCCACACTCATGCCAATGATGCGCATTCACTCAGGACCTCATTGGCTCCCCCTACTCTCTTCCTTCTTGGAATGTCCTTGTGGGGGGCCAAGACACATCGCTCTTGCTGTTGTCCTCACTGTTTCTAGATGGGCTATCTTTGACTTCCTTGTGTGCCTCTCCCAGCTTCACACAGCAGTTATATACCCCTCAGACTCACCCTTAGCACACCAACCCAGTTCCTGCTGGCCAGGTCTCTTTCCTCCAACAGCACACCTTCCCTTCCCACCTCAACTAGGGGCCTAACTTCCAAATCCTTCTGCTCAGACCTCATGACACCCCTCAGCACCTCCTATTGGCACTGCTGTGGAACTGAGGCTAGTCTGCATTACTTCTACTGCTTGGCCTCATCTCCCTCTGATCACTCAACAGCCTTTGTTTGGCTGTCTCCATTCCTGTCCCAACAGCTTATTCTCCATGTATTGCCCAAGGAAACTTTTAATATGTTTGTCACATCTCAATGCCCAAGCTCAAAACCCTACTGGGGCTTTTAGCATCTGACATCTACCCTTCTCTTCCTGGTCCTCTGCCCCCACATTAGCTTTAGATTTGTGGCTTTGGAGGCTGTCCCGGAACTAGCTCTTCTAGACCAGGCTGGTCTCTAACTCACAGAGATCCGCCTGCCTCTGCCTCCTTAGTGCTGGGAACAAAGGCATGTGCCATCACTGCCTGGCCTAGACTTGTTTTTATTTGTATATGTGTACACCATGTTTGTGCTGGTGCAGGGAGAGGGCATCAGATTCCCTAGAGCTGGAGTTCCAGGTGGTTAAAAGCCACCCGATATGGGTACCGGAAAGCAAAGAGTAGCAAAGGCTCTTACCTGCCGAGTCATATGTCCTGCCCCTCATCAACCTCCTTGCTGTTTTGTCTGCCTTGGGGCCCTAACATGACTTTCTACATCAAAGGCTTAGGATATACAAACCACACTCATGATAGTTATGCATTTATTATGTATCCCCTATAAAACATAGCTCTGTGAGGATCAGGCTTGCTTCTCTCCCTCTCGTATTCCCAGCACCAGGCTGCTACTCACTAAATAAATATTGTCTAATGACAGCTCAGATGCAGGTTCCCACACTGTCCTACGGCACCTCAGGCATGGTGAAGGTGGTGGGCTTGGCGCCAGCTATGTGGCCAGAGGAGTTGACTCTCCAGTTTGTGTTTTTGGTCTCCCAGGGCATCATCCTGCACATGAGGCTCTCAAGAACAGGCTCTGAGGCCAGAGGAGCAGGAAGCATGTGGCTGCCCGAGGGCAACGTGCCAGAGCACTGCTCACTGCTGTTCTCTGCCAGGAGAGGATCAGCATCAGTCTGGATGTTTCGGCCACAGCTTTAAAGTTTACGAAGTGCTCACACTGGGTGCTGTGTCTGAGCCACATGGCTCCTGCAAAAGGTGGACAGTGAGGACCAAGACGCCCCTTCTGTGGTAATAGCCTGGGGTACTCGGGTTCAGCATCTGGCCTGAGGCTGCACAGGAAGTGACCCAGCTGGGTCCTGGGCCAGGCCTTCCTGTATGGCACGGGCCACTACACACTGCCCAGATTAACTGCTACCAAACATGGCCTCTAGGGTAGAATGGAAACATGTCCTCTCTTGGAACAAACCACTAAATGAAAAACCACGAGTCATTTATTCTTTGGTTGTCTATACAGACACTTAAATATCATGCTGCTGTCAGGCAGCTGCCTATACAGGCCGCAGGGTGGTTCTGGGCCTGCATCCTGAGCCTTTAGCCAAGCCCAGAGAAGAGTGGTGTCCTGCCGTGTCCACTCTAAGAACAGTAGCACCATGGGGAAGGCTGTGGGTAGGATCCTTTGGCAGGTTAGCGGACAAAAGTACCCCTCACTCTGCAGCCTTGAGAGGCTGGGAAGGCCTGGCTGCAGGGCAGAGTTCCCTGGGTCCAATGAAACCCATGTGTGACCTCACTGCTGTCATAGCTCATCTTTGTGCTGAGACTCCCTGTCTGACAGAGACTCTTCTCCAGGTTTTGGTGAGCCCTGTTGGTCATGCAGGGGCTGCTTCTGGGAGAAGTCCACCTCTTCTGGGCTGAACAGCATCTTCACCAGGTCATCCGCCTGCACCCTGTCCTGCAATGGCAAACCATCTTCTCAGCAAGCCCCCAACAAGGGGGCTTAGCTGCTGCGTCCAGAAAAAGCAATGGCAATGCTGCCATAGCGCCTCTGGGACCACCTCTTTCCCAGCAGGCCTAAGCTCTACTAGCTGGAGCAAGGCCCAAAGAGTGAACCAAGGATTCCACATCACCTCTACCCTGGTCCTCCACTTACCTGGGAAAAGGAAGGTCCAGGGAGGGGGAGGCAGCAGTGCCTGCAGTTAGTGCACTGGGGCGGGGAGCTCTAGTCTAGAGCTCTTTTATGACTGAACCACTAGCAGTAGGACTCAGAGAAAGGACCCAGAGCCTTTTGGAAACAGACAAGGGCCCTCCCAAGAGCTCTTACTCGCTCACTGTGTCGAGGATCCAGCGTGAACCACAGGGCGATGGCACAGCGCTGCCCCCTGGTGACAGCCTTCACTCCGTGTGGGTTCTCAGTACCGGAAGAGAATCCCACAGCCCTTCCACACTGGGGCTGCACCTCTGCCTATGGCGAGGAAAAAGGTGAAATGGGAAAAGGTCTTTGGAGAATAATGGGTAATTAGGACCAGGGCCCAGAGGGCAGTCAGAGGAGAGCTGCCATATCCCAAAGCCCCTGGCCTGGGGACAGGGTATGGGGCTGGTATGGGAAGCCAGGATGTCCTCTGGGGACATCAGGTCTAGAGAACAGGGTTTCTGTCCCCAGGAATGAGGGCAGTGGTGCACTCACTGTCACAGTCTTGGCGTCTAGTTCAGTGAAGTAAAAGTTTCCTCCATCAAAGTCCCCATTGAGGTAAAGGATGGCACTGGAAAGGCAGGGAACCCAGACATGGCTTATCCCCACTCCCCGGAACCCTCCTCTGTGTGCTTTCAATCAGCAGCTGGAGGCCAGAAGCTCTTCTGCAGCCACAGGACATAAGGACATCTCACAAGGTCCCCTGCCCCACCCTGGAGACTCCAACATACACGAGCTAGTGTGCTTGTATGCCAAACCCACACATGGCCTCCTAGTCACACCCTTCCTGTCTGTCTTCCTACACGGGGACTAGAGTGAGGGACTGGCCTCTACAGACAGCTTGCCCCTGCCTGTGTGTGCACATGTGCACCAAGGGTGGGGAGGCCGAACGCAGGACATGGAGGAACTTTCAAGGGCAAGCACAGAGCTCTGGCACCACCAGTGTTGCATTTACCTATAGTCCCGGAAAGTGTAGGCAGGAGGCTCCTTGATGCACACGAGGGTCTCGGCATTCAGGATGCAGTTATCCACATGGACTGGGTGGCTACTGTCCTTCCTCTCAGCCTGTGACTCTGAGGCCAAGATAATCCATGTTAGAGTAGGATATACAGGAGGCACAGGGAGAGGCTCTCTTGTTGACACATGGGACAGGGGATGGAGGGGTGTACCTAGATGTATATGAGTCTCTGGAACTGTCATGTACTGGGCTATGAGCAGTCTTTGGCTAAGCCACAGCTTATTGATCAGGACAAGCTTTTGGGGTGAATAGGGCACAGCCCACAGGACTGTAGGGTGCTAAAATCCTGGGCTGAGTGCCATCACCCTGGGAGAGCTAGAGATTTTCTGAAATAGGAGGTCTACAGCAGTAAACAGAGGAAGCTGCTGGGTGCAGGGACCACTGACTCCACCTTCTAGCAGGCCTGCAGGAGGGGCAGGGCAGATGAACAGAAGCAGCATAGTGCAGCTGGAGAAGTGGGGCTCTGGGATGGGGATGGGTGGAAAACCACACAGGGAGAGGACATGGAAAAAACCAGGCGGGATAACTGTAAAATGCCAGTGGATCACACCTTCCTCCAGTGTAAACCTTGGCACACTTCGTGTGGGGATGGCAGATGCTGCTTCATCAGATGCAGCCAGTCACCAGTGCCTGCCTATCTTCCTCCACTCCCCCCCCCCCCCGGGCCCCTCCCCTCTCCCT